CAGCCTTGCCGAAGGCCGGAGGTTTAGCAAGTACGCGACCTCGACGTAGCTCGGTGACTCAAGACTTTTGTCAACGACCGTTCAGTGTCAAACTCGTAACGGACGGTGTTGGATGGGTTCTTCGCCCGCTCCGGGTTGCCCAGGGAAAAGACCTTCTAATACAGAAAGGAAAAGACCTTCTACCTCAAAAATATGAATGATATATAAAAATACATGAAAACCTTAAGTGTATTTTCATGATAAAGTAGAAATATCATGTAACTAATTATTATTTAGCGATTTAGATAAATATATATTAATTCAGGGAGGGAACAAGTGACACAATTTGTTCGCAATAAAGTAGAAATATTGTGTAACTATTATTTTCTTACATATCAATCGAATGTTGCACTCCTCCAGTGTCTCAAATTTCTACTTCACATTATTATCTCTATTTCTTCATTTTTTAATTTAACATATACCGCGCATGTAATCCGTTGAAACGCTCCGCGCACTCGAAAGAGAACAAAATTGTCTGTGGTGCGCACGAAAAGAGAATCTACTGGATTTCGTAGACAACAAATTATAGGTGAGTTATTCTTGCTTTTCATACGGATCGATAAAATCGGAAAATTTCGCTCTTAACGTGTTTCGTACAACGTCGAGTTAAATTCGCTACGGTATAGGTTTAGGATTTGTGCCTGTTTGAATCGGTCTAAGGACAGAGAGAAAGAGAAAACACTCGATATAATTACTCAGTGAGTAATCTGTATGACGTTTTTTATCTCGTTGATTTCCTCGGTGAGATATTAAGCCCGAAATTGTTCAGACGGATGTCCATGGCTGTCTCCAGATTTATCTTATCGTTGGCAAAGAATCAATATCGTGCAGAGCTTAATCCCACTCATATCTATAACGTATATCTCACTATAATCTATAAAGTAAAATATAAAAATATAAAATAAAATAAAATGCTAGAAATTTACCTTCCCTCCCCTCTGTATTACATATTGCAACTTATTAACACTTCATATTTACATCAATACAATATTGTGTACACGCAATGTTATAACATAAAACAATGAAAAAGAAAAAGAAAAGGAGAGACAAAAGGGTTATATAACATGCTGTATGTAATATATGTAAAATATAAATTTTAATTAATCGTTTCCAACTTTATTTTATCTTATTTTACTTGATTTTATCTAAACATTTTTTTCTAAATAAGCGGGAAGCTATTAGTAGTATCGCGTCATCGCGAGTATAGTCGCGATTATTTTGATAACCAACTTTTATATATTCGACCTCGCGACACTACCATGCAGCTTGATATCGACTGGCACTTGTCGCGTGAACCTGTTACAAATGCGAATCGTGCGATATTCGTCGCCAAGCGACAGCGGCGGCGCCGTTTCTCGCGCATTACGTTTCCGGTTAGATCCACTTTACCGGCACAACAAGCGCGCCGCGGTTACAGCTGCCAAGATACCTCGATTTACCACCATAGCCAGGCTTCCCTTCGAAAAACTCGCTGGCTGCGAGCTCTTTTTTCAACACCCTCGCCAGAGGCGCGATCTAACCCGACGAAGGATATAAACGGGGTGCCCGGTCGCCGAACCGAGGCGGCATCGGCCGTATTATCATGATCGCGTCCCCGAACTGCTTTTGACATATCTATTACGCGTTTCGGAATAGAGGCGACTTCGAATTCTATGCCGCCTCCCCGGCTTCGACCGCTCGCTTCGACGTCCTTTCCTCGCCCGTTGTGGAAGAGCGGCGGGGATGGGAAACGCGGTGGTGCAGACGTAGAGGTCCAATTAATCAGTCGGGGCGTGAAACGAGAGGGGGTCTAACTCGTGGGTGGTTCGAAGGGGACTGAAGAGAGAGAGAGAGAGGGGGGGAGTTGGATAGATAGACAGATAGAGAGAGAGAGGGATAGGTAGGGAGAGAGAACGGGGTGGTTTGGCGCGTACAGGGGGTGTCGCAGGGATTGCGGTGACAGATCCACCGTATCTGTCCCTATCTGCTCAGGGCATTAAATTCGCGCGACGCCAGCCCAACGTCGTGCCGCCAGCAGAGGGGATTCGCTCGAATCGGTTAACATTCCGATGCGCGGCGATTCAGGTTTCAATTAAATGCAACGCCGTTAACAGACGTTGCGCCGCGTCGATCGGACCGCCGCTGCCGCTAAGGCGGATTTTAAGAACGTAATTTCGCCGCTCCCGACGAGTTCATTCGAAGATGAGGAAGGATTCGTAACGCGTCCGACTGTCGGGAGCGCGCTCCTCATCCAGTGTATCGCGGATGCGGATTAATCGGACCGATCGCTCGTATCCTTCATATGTGTACGTACGAACGTATGATTGGATCGGACCCGGTACTGGTCGTACAAATTAACTTTTTTATGATCGAGTCGGGAAAATTAACTATTTCCTTCCGCGGAAAGGCATTGTAAAACTTTACACGATGATCGGAAATATAAAAAAATTATGAGAATAATAATGTTTACTTACGGGAAAATCTTTTAATGTACACGAATTATAGACAAATCGTACATAACGAACATAAACTATATCAAAATTATGAAAACAGAAAGAGCAAGTGATTATCAGTAAATGTACCATAAATACATATTAAATTGGAAAAATGAATAAGTAAAAATCAAATTATAAAGAACAATAACGTCAAAGTTTTAAAATTGCGCGCATAAAGATATTTGTGTTTCGTCTCATTTGTGATAATTCGTGCCAATAGAAGAGTCTTCGGTGATAAACGTTACGGAAACATTTTCATGCTTCTGTAATGCAATGATCGATTTAATTACAATTCTGTGTAATTGGCACTATTATTTAATTATTGTTAATTAATAATAATAATTTATGATAATTGCCTGCGGTGGAACGCAGCAACCATCTATATTCGTTGAATATGATCGAACGCAACTTTACTATTTACTATTTTAAAGCAGTTATATTTATCGCGTTCCGTGAAACGTTATAGTGAATGAGAAAGAAAAAGAGAAGGGAGAGAAAGAAAGAGAGAAGGGAGAAAGAGAGAGAGAGAGAGAGAGAAATTTCTCTATTTTCCTCTCTTGTTCTCTTTTATCTTTGATATCAGCGTAAAATTTTATCGACGTAATCGCTTCTTCTTAAGATCTTTTTAATCGATTTAATACGCTGATGTTCTCCTTTCGTGTTGCGTTTTTAAATTAAATGCTCATAACTGTGGCTGAGCCACAAACGAAGCGGATTTAACCATAAAGTTTCTCATCTTTCCATCAATAAAGGGCGAGTTCGTTGAAATCTCTCTAACAAAAGAGTCGATATCACATCAAGACTTTCCTCTTGATTCTTTAAAATGCCTACAACAGTCATAAATATCGCTTTCTTTTATAGATCAATTTTTTCATGAGTGAATACTATCTTAATCTTCGATAATCTCTACATGTGGACTGTGAAAAATAGCGATAAGCTTACTTAACTTCTCGAATGTTATGGGCGCACGTATGCGTCTGACGAATTTCTTCAGTTTGTACTCGAATTAGAACTCCATATATTTTATTATTGTTATTATTATTATTATATATGAAAATCTAATAGTAGCAAATATTCAGAAAAAGATCACACTTCACGAATTTTCTTCAGTTTGGGAGATATTGTAGGGCGATATGAAAAACTCTCTATATATGAGTATATCGTATATATATAAATTCGTTTTATAACATCTCGATTTCCAAAGTAGTCCCCACTGGAAATCACTTTCAATTATTTTCCCCATAATTTATATATAAATTTCTCAACAAAATCGCTAAATTGCGACCCTTTTTGAATATTTATTCTGATAGTGAATCGAACGAACAATGAATCGGATTTGTCAATTTTGAGAATCTTTTAGAGAAACTTCATCCGTTCACATATTATTCGACATATCTTACGATTGGTGGGATTTATTTGTCCATCATGCTTAACAGTAGCCACGATATTACTTGCTCATCTTCCGACGTTCCTTTAGCATGGTAAGTCGCTCGATCTATTGAGAATACGTCGCAAACATTAATCATCGAATGCTAAGGACGATCGATATATCCCGCCAGTATGCTCTCGTCAATAAGAGCTCAGATGATAATTCCGTGCGGTTCTGAATGATCTTGGCATTAGATTTGACGATCACGTAGCCGATAGTAATTCGATGTTTCACGCGTCCATCGATACTAAATTACTTGCACGAATCCAATGTGCAATTTCATTTCGTCAGTAAAAAGTAGAATTTACAAAGTATACATGGTAGTATATCGGGTGTATATATATCAAACCTGGCGATTTTAATTTTACCTAGAGCTTCTCTGAGCAATTTGGAGACAATTTTTCCTCATCGAAAATGTCGAAAAGGATTGCTCACGGCAACTTCTCAATTTTCAACATAGCATATCTTCAACCAAGACCTAAAATAAACCTCTATTGAAGTAAATTCTTGCTTGAAATTGATCGAAGAAAATCATTTTCTGTGTCATTGTTGTTATAATAATTTAGTCGTTTGAAATTTGATCTGCGAGAAGAATTTCGCTTTTTCAACCGCTTGTATCTCGGAAACTATTAACGCCTAGACGTTTTTGTTGAAGAAAAATCAACTTTAAATTGCTCAGAGAACCTCTCGGTAAAATTAAAGTCAATATTCGGAAGATAGCGTATGGATGTGCCCCCGGGGCTTTCAATATAACCATTTACTACAAATTTAAAATTAAAATTTAAAATTAAAGTCGTAAGGTTTAAGACATCCTCTATACATAAAAAATAGCTTACATAATAAGATAAGTAGAAAATATAAAATGGAAGATATAAAGAATGGAACCGAGAACCGAAAGAAAAAGCGAGATCAAGCCGAACACCTAAGATCGCGTCGTCAACGACACGACACGACACAGGCGAGTCCGGATAACGGACGGTCGCGGTTATGCTTCGCAACGAGATTGCCGGGGCAATCAATCGTTATCGAGCATTAACGTGGATATTCGTGTTTGACAGTGGCAGATGTTCCGTGCGGTAGAAGCGAAAGTGGAATACGATCGGCGCGAATTGTCGGAGGTCAAGAAGCTGCGCCGCGCGAATTTCCATGGCTTGTGAGCATCACAAGGAAAGGCGGACACTTTTGCGGCGGCGCCATCCTGAATGAGAGATTCGTATTAACCGCAGCTCATTGTTTATGCTCGTAAGTAAAATGTGCGATTATTTGGGTATTTCTTTACGTTTGAATTGCGAGTTCCGATTTCGGAAAAATTGACGTGTTTCAATTAAAAAACGAACCGCTAATATTTTTGAAAACAGGTTCTTTAAACGGTTTTAAATATTTTTGAGGAAGTATTTGAGCTTGAGTCAATTTTAATCGTTAAATTAGTATTTATTCTAGCACATGTTAAATTAAAATTGGGCTAAAGTAGCATTAAATATAAATATATGAATCTCATGTTCGTATATCATATTCGTATTATATAATCATAATTTTACATTCTACATCGGGACGTATTTTCTTGACTTTTAATTAACTCCAGCTTCCATGATAAATTTGCGCGTCGAAAGAAAGTTAATATTACGTCTACGTAAATGATTAATGTTTTGGTAACAAAATACGATATATCACATCTGTAGTTTTACTTACACTTTAACAATTTCTCGAAAGGCGCATCTTCATTAGCGGAGTATATAAACTCTACAAAGACTAAGTCCCTCGTAAAGTAGGCTTTAATTTCAAAGGTCGATCTGAACTTATAAATTTCTTGACAACTTTTAATAATATGTTCGCATATCAAATCTCGTTAAATCCGCCGGAGGCTGTGGAACCCAATTATTATCTTAGAAGTTTGATTACGTACAAAATATTCTGCTTAATATCATCAGGAATATTTTACTGCATTCTATTGTTTATTAAACTTTTCAAGTTTATTTTGACGCATATTTTTTCACACTTTGTTATTAAAGTACCTAACGTTGAAATTTCCAAAGTTGTAGCGAATATAACGATTGTCTTCAAAGTGATCATACACTTTGAATGGAAAAAAGAAAACTTAATACGCAGACAAGAATAAAAAATCGATATAAAGCTGTCCCAAAATTTAACCAGCATCACAGAACCATTTGCCTATCTGTTGTATAAATATAGCGAACAAATGCAACATATACACGTCCATGTATGATTTTTATTACGCTAACATGTGTCAAGCGCGAAACTTTAAATAAAAACAAGCATGAATCTCTCACAACAAACTATTTTTCCGTTGAATTCCACATTGCTGGTTAAACAATATATTCAGCCTGTCTATAACAAAACACGCACATTAATTATAAGATATGTTGTAACACACATATATGGACACTGTGCGATGAAAAATAAGCTGAAATTCCGACGTAAAATTATCGAGTGACCGATTACAGTTATCCGGATTTGCGATCAACGTTCCGCGAATAAAAAATGTTCCCAGATAAACTGCTATGAGAAAATATATAAATAACTAAAAATATCAGAATACGTGCGTATGTTACACGTGTGCGCAGATTTCATAAGTGGAAAAATGAATATTTTATGAGACTCATGGAAAAGTAAATGTTCCGTTTTACGTATGCGATATTCTCTCTCCCTCCCTCCCTCCCTCCCTCTCTCTCTCCCTCTCTCTCTCTCTCTCTCTCTCTCTCTCTCGCTCTCTTTCTCTTTCATTCCATGAAAACAAATTATCTGAAATATAAAATTTGACTATGAACACTGCCCCATATATCAGACTGTCGGCAAAAATTTTCGTCGCGCGTCACTGAACGACAGATCGAATGCGCAGACGGCACTCTGGACAACGCCTCGTCAAAGTGAACGAACGGAATAATAAATAGCAATGATCACGTCATGAATTAAACGGGCGACAATCACTATCACCGCGTGGCAGACGAATTTGCGCGGCCGTGGCAATGTATGCGGGACAGCTTTCGTGTAGATATAATTAAACGGGCGAACGGACCCATAGTCGACTGGGCAACAAAACATGCAGATATTGCGTATCCCTTTCGGTCACTGGACAGATTACAGAGGGATGGGATGGAGAGGGCGATAGGGGCCGTTCGGGGGCGTCGAGCGGCCGTAGGGAGGATTCACAGCGCCGAGCTTTGGCGTTGTAAACCATGATTGCGTGTAGATTACAGACCACTCGGTAATTGCTAGCAGCCATGCAAAACGCATGGAAAACGTTGCAACAAGGCGTGAGGGAGGCGTGAAAATGAAGGCGACCATGTCCGCTTTCTCTCTCTCTCTCTCTCTCCCTTCCTCTCGTCTCACTTCACTCTCAGTCCGCCCGCGCGCTCTATTCTATTCTATTCCGTACTTTTTGCCCTTTCCCTCCCCCGTCGCATACTCCGACAGTCGTTTACGCCTTTCGAGAAGAAACGGCGCAACGCTCGCCGACGATATCTAACACCTTGTTGCGTCGAATTTATGGCGACTGGATTCCCGACGGTCTCTCGTTATCTCCCGCGCACTAAGAAAAATCGAGACGAGGTTCGCGCGTGACGGACTTTATTGGACATTCCTGGAGATTCCAATTAGGGTGGGTGTGCTACGATGAGTGCGATTGGACTGTAGAGATATTGTTACGCAAATTCCCTATTATGCTGAGTGGGAAGAGAAATGTTAGCCCTAATAAAATCAATGACTACAAATATTACTCTCGAAATGTAATGGGGCTTAAAGAAGAAATATTCTAAATAAAATCAATGATTTTCAAGCGCACGGAGAAACATAACTTGCAGGAACAGCAAATTTTACGCTTTCGCAGCAAAAAAGTTTGTTTAACAATACATACGATAATAAATATCGATAAATGAAATTATAATAATTTTCGATAAATAATAAAAATTAATCGATAAATAAAAATTATAATAATTAATTTATAGAAAGTTCAAAAGTAAATTATTATATCAATTATACCCAATGTCTGAATTTTTTCAAACGAACTTCCTTAATTTAATGAGAAGGGAACAACCATTCGTATAACAAAGTTTACATAACCTCGATACTTGTTTCTTGAATTACCTTTGTGATAAATATTATTCTCGAATGTAATAGAATAATGTAATAAGATTAAAAATGGCCGTTTATCAAATTAATACTTTGTCCTGAAATTCTTCGGGCTTTCTGTTTATATGCGCCATCTAGAGTGGTTTGCTCAGGCAAGATCTTTTATATTGAATATCATCGTATAAATTATGGTCGTTTTAACTCAATTAACCGGATTTGTGTATTGGATAATGAATTTTCGCACTCCATTGACATCTTTCACAACTCAACTAGTGCTTTTAGATGTTGCTTAACTCGTTCCCTCTCATCTTGATTTCATTTATTGAATATATTTTGCTGGTGCTACTTATTTATTCTTATGTTAATTTATATATTCTTATGTATTTCTTGCGATTATTCATATGTATTTTCTTTTTCCTGTTTCCCTTTTTTATTTGTAAACCAAAGGGTACTCCCCGTTTAAATAAATAAGTAAGTAAATAAATGAATCAGTTTAAACGACTCCCAAATGTATTACTTAATCACATGCCAGGGTCACAAATCGGGGCTTCTTTCACCGACTTTTACCGTCAAACTCTTCTAACGAGATCGACTCGATCTAATATCGTTCGTGTATTTACGATATCTCGCGTGTATAACCGCTCGGCCACTTGAGCGAATATAAAACGGCACTCGTCGGATCAGCGAATGATTAAACAAACAATAACGCGTCGGACTGATGACGCGACGGCCAATTACCATTAATACAACGCGCGGTGCGAATAATATGGCTGATTAATCGTCACGCGAGCAGGTACGAATTACGCCCTCGCATAGTAATACAAGAACTGGCAGACTAGCGACGCGGCGTCGATATTTCCCGTTCGGCGATATCGCACGGTAAATTAATGTTCAGCGGTACCTTATTGCTAACGTCATTCTCCGTGCGACGTTGCGTAATTCACGGGCGCGTCCCGATGCCGATATAGCCGGGCCGCCGGGAGAGTCGCTGCGCGATTTAACGAACCGGACCAAAATTAATTCCGATCGATTTACCGAGTCGACGTCCAATTAATTTTTAACGAGACCACCAGCACGTGGAAAAAAGGAAGATTCATTCTATCGTAGCTGAATGGCGCGCATTGTTCTCATAATGCGAGCAGAATGCACATGTACCTAATTGGCACAATGTTGAGCTATTAAACGAACCTTTAATTAATACGCCAGCGCACCAAGCCGATTCAACTTCACATAAATTGCGTTTTGATTCATATATAAATCTCCTTTTTTCCTTCTGTTTCTATATTTCCCTCCATTGTTCTCGAAAAAAAAAATAAATAAATAAAACAACAGCAGGTCTAATTTTTACTTCTTAGCGATGGCGAACACACGCAAAATTAAGGTAGTTGGCCCGTAATAATACTGTTAGAAAGGTAATGGTTAATACAATACGAAAGAGTTCGACAAATCGTCTTGTCATTTTTCATTAAAATCGTAAGAGCAGTTTCTCACTAAAATTAAAAGCTTGAGATCAAAAGTCGTTTTCTTACCTGTGATACATGTTAATAGCGCCAACTTAACTTCAATTATCTCCGTTTTGGCACGGTAAATCTTTTCCTAATTTTATATACGCGTAGATCGTGTTTCGACTAATACGCTGTTAAAATTTGACAAGATGCTTCGGTCGATCAGTGTCCGAATCTGTCGCGCGCTTAAAGCGTCATAATTAATAACGCACATATTTCTATTTGTGGACATTAGGAAACATTTAATAGCAACTAATGAACTCGCGTTAATATCCCGCTCGTTGCGAAGCAAAGTTACATTTTGGAGTTCGCGCGCGCGGTCGCGTTATTTTGTAGATGAGTTACATGTCCTAATGAGTTATGATAATGAGGTGTCCCAGAGAACGCGTATATTACGCGGACGCGCGAAGGGCCAACGACCAGGAAGCGCGCGCGACCTCGATTTTAATGCGAAATCTGGCGACCCATTTAGAAGCAGGCGATTTTTCGCAAGCCAAGCGCACAAAACGCCGATCTCCATTCCGAAGCGAGCGGTTAACACAATCGACGCTGTGCTTCGACAAATCGAGTTGCCGCGGCAGCGCTCGTGCATCTCCTCGCAAGCGAACTCCTCGCCTGCCGCTGTCGTCGTCGTCGTCTACAACGCCTGAGCGCTCGCGCATTTTAATTGGAAGGGCGCGACGACGTCGAGGAGGGAGTGTCGGAGATGCATTGAAAGTAAACCGTATAATCCGCGAGCCGCGTAACAATAGCGGGGGACTCGACGACGATGGAAAGGTCCATTAAGGCGGCTTTGTAAGGAGCGGCGACGAAACAGGTCCTGGAAACTTAGAAAACGCTCCGAGATAAACTCCGCGCGTGTAAGAGAGAACGAGTGAGCGTGCGCGCGCGAGAGAGAGAGAGAGAGAGAAAGAGAGAGGTGAAAGGGCGAGAGCGGAAGAGGACGCGGAAGGGGTTGCCGCTGACGAAAGTGGGACGACAGGGACTCGTGAAATACAGCAGCGAGACGCGGGGGCGCTCGGCCGTTGGGACGGATAGTTTCGCGGAGGGAGCGTCGTAATTTTGTTAATTATTCAGAGGCACCGTAGACCGATTAATTAACTGAAGCCACTCGGACCGGTTCAGGTATTCGAGGAAGCTTCGTAGACGCGTCGCGTTCGGGCGGGACAAAAATCCCGGTTAAATAATTGCCGACGTCTCAGAGAAAGAAACTGCGAAATAGGTAGGATTCGCCCGCTTAGTTAATATAAAAGAGTGCGGGGCGGAGGCGGGAGGGAAAGAGGGGTTGGAGATTCACGGAGGGTGGATATCGACGGCTGGGTGGTTTCTCGCGGATTTTCGATAATCACTCGCGGTCTCGCGTCGGTGTCTAACTTAGGGTGATATTTAGAGTGGCGTTCTAGAGGTTATTCTAAGCGAAAAAGTTCCGATACATTGTTATTAATTGTACACGATTATACGTGATTTTTTGTAACAGACGAAATATTAAACATTTAATAGAAAAGAAGGTGGAAATTATGACCTTTATAGGTGTTCAAGTTATTTCAGTAATTCAAGTTAAGTTTAAAAGTCTATTCATTTTGGGGAAATTGATTGAACAACATTTTAACGAATGTAATCTTTAAGTTTTCAATTTAAAATATTAATAAAGTTATTGTACAAAATATAAATGGGACCATATCACTTTCTCCTCTATAATTATATTAATTTACGGATCAACTACGTTAAATTCATCTTCAGATGAATGCTGCACGGATCGTTTCATTGGCGGAGCGTTTACAGTTCTCTACGGAGCATCTGAAGATGAACTTAAGACGATCTTAAATATAAGATCAGGCTATGAATACCGGTTTCGGACTCCTTGCACGTTAAGAGAAGTGAAAAGGAGAAGAAGATCCCCGCCACACGCGTGTGTGTACGTATGTGTGTGCGTCGAGTTTCGTGACTCGCGTAGAAAGCGAGGGTTGAATATCGTTTCTTTTTTTTTCACTCGCCGTTTTTACGGGCCGTATAGATTCTGCGGGGAGCGTAAGTCGCAGACATTTCGAGGTCGTACGAATACCAGATACGTACATTGCTCGTCTCAAATCTTTTTACTGAATTCTTACGTGCCGTTATTCCGGTAACCCCACACACACACACACACACATATATTTTTGCCTTTCTTTTCTTCTATTCAGTTCGTATCGACAGCATTTGCAAATAGCACGGCGTATCGTTCACAAGTTGAACACACTGCCATTTTTATTTCAGCGGCACGAGCAAGATTCCGGTAGGACAATTGCGAGTGACGCTGGGCGAGCATAATTTAAAGGCTCCGGAAGTGCCGGCCGCAAGACACGAAAGCATCATAAACGCGGTGTTGCATCCCGGTCACAGGTGCGGCAAGTATGTAGACGATATTGCGCTGTTGGAACTAGCCAGACCGATCGCTTGGTCGGAAAGCGTGAAACCCGCGTGTTTACCTGTGGCCACAGGAAAACCAGGGTATAGCGCCTTCGGCGGTGAGCACGCCATCGTGGCGGGATGGGGCTGGCTCGGCGAGGATAGATCCAGATGTGAGTAAATAATTGCCCTTCTCTCTTTCAATGCTATTACATATACATGCCGATCGAGATTAGAGATCGTTACTCGTTTAACTCAGCCTTTGACACATCCGCAAATACGGTCTAAATGGCCACGTTTCGAGCTATCGCGAGGATACCCCGAAATCCCGAGCCTGGTCGGGTTGTTCGCTGAAAGACAGTCTCCCAGAATCGGTTATCCCGCTATGATGTTAATTGGGGAATACATTCTCGTCCCAAACACGGATTTTCCGAGTCGAGACAGAAATAATGTGGAAATTCACGTTTTTTTTTAGTGAACGAAATTGGAATATTCTCGGCGCGGCAGTGGATATTCCGATCGAACTCCACTTTTGTGAAGTTTCCCGTCGGAATCGAACGCCGACGGTATTCAAACGCACTCGAACGCTCCCAACTTCCGCTGTTAAATTATTAGTAATTTGCCACATCTCGAGAAATACACCGTACCCCCGCATTTTGTATGCGTACCGTGATTGCATCACGTGTCGTGCGTGTGACGTATAAATCTCTGCGAACGCGCGGCGGTAACGCGAAGCAATTCTGCTCGATCGTCCAACAAGTTACAAATAGCGAGGGTCTTCATAAATACTTGAGATACATCGGTAAGCCTGAAGTTTCGATAAATCTCGGCACGATAACGATCGGGGCGACGATACACACGCCGAAGTTTCCGTAATTACCGAAGTTTCCGCATGCGTGGGAGCTCGACGCGTATACCAATTCGCGCGGAATCAATAAAAGTGGCCAGGGGTCATCTTGGCGATAAAACGGAACGTGGTGAACTTATTTCCGGAGAAAAATAAGTACACTCTAATCTCGACATTTGTTTCCAATCGTTTATCCGCGGATAACGCAGGGTCCATCGCAAATATCATTTTTGCCTTGAAATCGGAATGTACATGTTTATAGCGCTCCAAAACATTAGGGTTCGCCCGAGGACGACCGGAGCGCAAACGGTGGCTCGCCCGCGGAAACTTGATTGCGATGTATTATCGAGACATTCCATCGTTAACGTTACGTTCCAGACAAGAGGGCGGATGTGCTGCGGAAGGTGGAGGTCCGCGTGGTGACGAACGCCGTGTGCAGCGAGTGGTACGCGAGCCAGGGCAGGTCGACCCGCGTCGGCTCGGCGCAAATGTGCGCCGGCTACGAGGAAGGAGGGAAGGATTCTTGCTGGGTAAGTAAAAAAAGTCCGTCGCGATCGTTGCACCTACGGCGCCGTACGGAACGCCCGTGGCGTCGGCCGTTTTTGCTTTTTCGCGCATCGCTGCCCGCGCTTGTCAATCGGCCGATCACGGAATTCACGGTTCGCCGGCCGGGCACGACGCGAATTTCAATAAATATCCGCGGTACCGTGGTAATGCGCGTACAATGCTGCTCAGGCATGATAGCCGACCATGTCGGATGATACCGGTCCCCGATAATTGGATCGTATATAATTGCATCGGCCTCGCTCCCCGGACCTCTAACGTCGATCGATATTTATGCGAAATTGTGACAGGGATTGGAAAAATAGCGGTGACGCTCGCTAAAGAGACGAAGAGCACCGGTATCGGCTTCACCTTAATTGCCGGCTGAATTATGAGGGACTTTTTAAGCGACGTTTACTTGATACCCTTGATATTAAGTACACTTGTCGCAGGAGGAAAAAGCCAATCTTCTTCTTTTCTTCTTCCCTTTTTTTAAGGGAGTTAGAGACTGTTAAGCATAAATTTGGCTAAATATTAAATTGCGACATAAGTCCGGCGGTTATTATCGACTTGATCCGATTAAATCCCGCTCTGAGTTGGACCGATTAAAAGCAGTAATCGGTGAGAAACGTCCGCAATTTGTCAACAGTAAGGACGGTGTGTTCCAACAGGATATTTTCTTTTTAAATAAATATCCGCCTTTAATTTCACTCGAACAAACCGAACGATTTTATGTTGTCCACCCAATATCACGAAAATATTAAAGATAAACATAAATTCGTATATCATAGAAATATGAAAAATACATATAAATTCTCGTGTACCATAAAAATATCGAGGATGAATATAAGAAAGTATACACGCATATGTATTATAATATGCATATGTATAAAAGTAATGCTTTTCTCTTCGTGTTCTAAGAAATGGTTGTCAGGAGACAGTCTGGAAGCCGGTCACGTTTAACTTTCTGTTTCCTTAGTCTGCGTAAGGATGAACAACGCTTCTTATCTACTAGGAGAGCATTAAGTTCGCGTGGTCAATGAAATTAATGCCATTTCCTGCAAAAGTGACTCCCGCGGGAGTTCCGCAACGGCATTACCAAGTCGGCGTCCATCGAAACAAAAATGAAAGCACCACCTTCGATCTTGTCCCCGATAAGTTTCCCTCCCGTCTCCGCCGCATCCTTATCAGCGATTTCTATTTCCTCCAGTCGGAGATATCCCCGGGAAAACAATCGAGAACAAACGTATCGCTTCGAAATATATCAAGGAGGTAGGGAATACCGAAAGTACAATATCGCTGAAGGTTCCGATGGGAATTGAGATGTGCTAGATTTCTTATTCGTCTCGTTTGCGCTCGCTCGCGAGAGCTACGGGAAGTCGCAGCTAGCAAAAAATTGATTTCGACATATCTTATATCGGATATGCAACGCGGCTTAAAAAAATTACATCAGCATTTTGAAAAGTTGCATTAGTACGCTTAGGACGAGGGGAATTGATTTTCACGATATATTTGTGAATATCAATGCTTAGATCGAGGGATATTTGTTTCTTCCTGATATTCGCGAATATCTCTTAACATAATCAGCAATACCGTGCTGAAAACCGAGATCGCCTCTTTTCGATATAAATTTCTCCTTCAGACTAGTATATTTTGTCAAATTAAACAATCCGAAATGTTCTTTCTGATCTTGATTTTCAATGAAGGAAAAAAGCGCGCGATCGATGGAACGCGGGAACTGTTCGAGCGATATTAACGCACCGTGCCGAAATAAACCGGGGTGACGATAAACGTCTCCCGCCGGTAAAAGCCCGTTTCCATCTTGAGAATTTCCAGCGGCGAGATTTACGATCCGCGCGCGAAACGATACCGAGACTCACCATAATGGATACTCCCGCGGCCCTGCACGCCTCCATATTAGAGCAAGTGGAATTTGCACCGCGTCGTTTACCATAACCTCGGAAGCTTACGGGACGCGCGGAGACGACTGCACATCCTGCACTTTATTCCAGGCCGACAGCGGCGGGCCCTTGATGGTCGGAAGCCGTCCTGGCGGTAGCGCAATGGTCGTAGGAGTGGTCTCCACCGGCATAGGCTGTAGCAGACCGCGGCTTCCTGGCATTTACACGCGTACGTCGGACTACATTTCTTGGATCACGCAAGAGGTGAGGTCTCGTCGGTGAACTGCGGCTACACGGAAGAACTGCGAAGTTACATTCTCTCGACGTCTCCACGTCCCCTCTCGCTCCTTCGTCCCTAACGTAATCGTGAATTTGTCCGCATGCACTATTGCACATTCGACCGAATTCGCCCCGAAACCGTTCGGCCGCCATGACGATTGGGGCAACTACCTGAAGTTGACGATGTTCCTCGTCTCTCTCGAACTTAAGTTACTAATCGATTACGGTTATGGCTGTGTAATGTAGGTGAAGGAGAAAAGTCGATTAATCGTCAGCGTTTCCGAATCGAAATTTTGACGCTACTTTGACCGTCTTAAGGATAGTTTGCGTTTACTTTAACGATACTAGGCTCTTGTTAACTCCTCTCTTGAACCTTTAATTCTTATAGGCACACTTACTAGCGGAGGTATAATTTTAATGCTATTGTAAAACAACTTATTTTGACGCTTGAAAACAGCGAAAATGGAAATTTAAGGCATCATCATGTTCAAAGTGAAAGAAATTATATTATTAGAATGACATTTTTTAAAATTTATTTTACTGTCTTAGTTCCTACTGTGTTGTAGAATTAAAGGTTTGACATAGGGTAAAAATTTCGACTCGGCTTAATCGACAACTAGTCTATTAGAGTAACTTTCATCAAACTCTGATTAATCTAATCGACGATTTAAAATTGCTGTCAGTTAAATATTACCTGCTCTATCTTGCTAATGCAGGTAGAAATTATTAATTTTATCGATTATCATTGAATTACAAATTATAGAACTAAAAATTAGCAATTCTTATTATTATTCGTGAATTAGTTTAATCTGAATTTGGTGAGACATCTTTAGTATGTACTGATCTAGAAACTATAATTTTGCAGTCTGTCATACGCCAATATTATTAACATTCTAATACAAGTTCAGAAAAAAAATCTTTGTACATATATTTATGTAATTATTTAAATATTTATTTATATTAATATGACGAGAGACGTACCAATTTTTGGAACGCTCGAGATGAACTCATATTATTTATTGCTACTCTGCTTATTTCTGTGACCTATAGCAGAAATATTCTGTGCAAGAGAGAGAAGAGAAAGTGCAAGATGTGTAGTTTTTAATCATTAATCCATTTTAATATAAAATAATCGATTTAACGAGACAGTTCTGATGAAATATGATGTTACACGATTATTCTTATGAGTTAAAGATACGATCATGATTAAAAATTTATAGAGGAGTTAAGAGAATTTCATTATTGTCATTTTGTAAGAAAATATTTGAAACGAAATATTCAATCCTTCAAGATTTCAAGCGATAATTGAATATTAACATGTCATATCGAAATATATGATCGCGAACATTTTAGTAAAAAATAAATAAAAATGATTATGCACTAGGTGCATTTATTATTATGTCCTGATGGAGAAATTTTATTTTATATATATAAGTTAATATATGTAAGAGTACGTACACAGATTTTTACTAGCTGTAAATGAGATTTTTCAAATTTGTCGCATCTATCTTCCTCATGTCCATTTTACTTTAAATGGACGATAATGATATAATATCGTACAATTTTGCGATATTGTAGAAATCCGCACACATAGCCAACTACACATATATATTTTTTGACGAACTGTCGTTAATTATTGAATTCTGTTCATCTGGAAATAACTCTATAATCGTTCTTGTTCATCTCTGTGACGCATTTTACCCCATCGAATAATGATTATGCACTAGGTGCATTTATTATTATGTCCTGATGGAGAAATTTTATTTTATATATATAAGTTAATATATGTAAGAGTACGTACACAGATTTTTACTAGCTGTAAATGAGATTTTTCAAATTTGTCGCATCTATCTTCCTCATGTCCATTTTACTTTAAATGGACGATAATGATATAATATCGTACAATTTTGCGATATTGTAGAAATCCGCACACATAGCCAACTACACATATATATTTTTTGACGAACTGTCGTTAATTATTGAATTCTGTTCATCTGGAAATAACTCTATAATCGTTCTTGTTCATCTCTGTGACGCATTTTACCCCATCGAATAATGATTATGCACTAGGTGCATTTATTATTATGTCCTTTTATATATATATATATAAAATAAAATTTCTCCATCAGGACATAATAATAAATGCACCTAGTGCATAATCATTATTCGATGGGGTAAAATGCGTCACAGAGATGAACAAGAACGATTATAGAGTTATTTCCAGATGAACAGAATTCAATAATTAACGACAGTTCGTCAAAAAATATATATGTGTAGTTGGCTATGTGTGCGGATTTCTACAATATCGCAAAATTGTACGATATTATATCATTATCGTCCATTTAAAGTAAAATGGACATGAGGAAGATAGATGCGACAAATTTGAAAAATCTCATTTACAGCTAGTAAAAATCTGTGTACGTACTCTTACATATATTAACTTATGCAAGCTGTATTCAATGTGGCAAAAATATAATATGCAAAATTATGTAAAGATAAAAATTATGTGATTGTATTAAAAAATATAAATGCGCATAGACAATAACTAAAAAAAATTATTTATATATGTAGAAAAGTTCTATCTCTTTTGAGAATATATTTAATCTAGTCACACATATTTGTAGAATATGACAGGAAAGTGAAAAATATACCTCATATTAGTATAAAATATTGAATAACATAATTATTATTATAATATTGTATTATTATTGTAATTATTATACGATTTACAAAGACATTGTTTCCTTTTTAGAACAATGTCTACACACACATTCATATTAATATTTGAAAATAATTAAACGTTGTAATTGCAATTATATATTGTAAATAAAAATAAAGAAATTCTTCACACATAAAATAAACCAATGTGGGTCACAAAATTCCAATCATATAATGTCAATCTAAACATCAATGTATTCCAGTAACATTTTCTCGACCCAAACCTGTACCAATAAAAGGGTTGGTCTCAATGTATAGTAAGAAATAAAAAATGATACGTTATTGAATTTTCACAAGATATATTGAGAAATACTCAATAAAGAAATTTACAATTTATAATACTCACAATACTAAACTATATTCTTCTTGGTTTTCGTGGTCTCGGTGGATTCGGACTTACTCTAGTATCATCAGTAATAGAAATAATGTTTAACCCTGTCATGGAAAGACCTTTTATAGAAGACTGAAAATCAAAAATCAAAAGCGTTAGAATATGCTATTAATCATTGAATTGATATAATATGTATAAACAAGAGATAATGTTTTCAAAATACCATTCTGCCTGGTCCAATTCCTTGTACTCGTACCCTCACTGTATTTATGCCATATTCTCGAATACGCTGAATAATAAATATATACTTTTTAAAGACGAATATATTAATATCATATCTAATTGTTCATATAAATATCATACAGCACATATTCTATTTTATATACATAACTATTATATGTATTCAAACTATACTCACGTTACCCAATGTTAAAGCTGCTTGTTGTGCAGCAATGTTTGTTCCTTTTCTAGCATTCTTAAAACCTTCGATACCTGATGTATGCAATATCAATATTTTACCCTTATAATCGGTAAAGGACATGATTGTGTTATTAGGAGTTGATTTGATATTGATAATATGGAGTTCTTTAAACAGTACACCATTAAATAGTCGATTCGGCGTGTCTATGTCGGGAAAAAGATGGTCTCTGAAACATAGACAAAATGATTCCAATAGCTTCCGTAGAAAGTACAATTATTGTTAGGACTTTTTAGCAAAACTTACTGCTGATTAACATTTATCAATTCAGACGTAGTTTCTCCCTCTGTTAATCCATATTTTGAGCTCTTGCCAACTCTCGATTTGTCGGACTGAAACCGAATTTCCTTGTTACAGAATGAGGTGGTGCAAATGCTTTTTGAGGTTATGTTATTGAAACAGCCGCAAATCACAGCACCATTGGCCAACACGCTTTCCGATAATAAAGGATATTTAATTAACTGTAAAGCAGACTTAATCATCTTGGTTAATCCGTTAAATGATACTCGATAGTACACGAGAGACGGATTCGGCGCAACGTGAACGAACGGTGCAACTGTAAACAAATGGTGTCGCTAAGCTATTGCCATCTCTGTATCTCTCGCAGCATTACGCAGAAGAGAACGATACCGCCACGATGTCGTACTGATAACAGTTTATTTATCGATTACTGGCGACCTCTCGTACAATCTAGTTATTCGACTAAACTGTCGGTACACGCGAATCTTATGAGTGCCCGACGATCGATTTATGATTGTGAAGCTAATTACTTCCAAATTTCAATTACTCTCGTTTAATACTTCACAATTTAGTAATCTAAATTATCATGACCCGGCAATCGTTTTAATCGAATTGTGCTATGCCCCGGCACGAAAATAAATTTGTAATTCGTATTATTGGAGCATGTTATAAATATTAACAGTTTATCAAACAGGATAAATTTCAATAAACATAATTTATACAGACGCAATTATTCGTTATTTGAAAGTTGTATTGATGAACATAACATTTCTGCCCTCCAAAATATCGAGCGCTATCGATAAAACAGAGGCGGAAATATGCATTATTTGCGAAATATTCTCCTGAATACGACAAATACAAAAAAGCTAATATTTTGCCTGGTATGTTTATATTTACTTTTGGCCGTGTTTATTTTTTTGCGCTTCAATTAATATCGCGATCGTCCGGCAAAAAAATACCGGAAAATTCGTTACGTAATAATAAGAAACTGCGTGTCTGTTACGTAACAGCCATTCGAATTGTCCACTTCTGACATCATTACCGATCAAAAGGTCAGTTTGTTTAGAATCGCGACGCATCGCAGACCGCACGCGTACAAAGTGACCAGTGATCGCCGTGAATCGCGTTAATTAGCGTGCGGAATCGCGATTAACCGTGTTTTTTCCGGTCGATTTGTATCGGCGCGAGTGAATAATACGTAAGTGTGCAATATATGGGATTACAGTACGTGCAATAACCTGGAATAAGCGCGGGACAACGCTGTGGAGAAAACAACATTGTCGTCGAATCCGTTGGCAAGTAATCAAATCATTATCAGTCTCAATTTAGAATTATCTGCCCTCTCAGTTCACCCTGTCGTAACTATGAATTTGCTCTGAAAGATATCGCTTTCGAAATACCGTAAGAAAGTCGAGACATGTAGATTAGATTACGTTAAAGCCGAGCGTACGAAAAGTTCGAATTGCACGATATTCCCATACACCACACTTTATCCGAAAGACGTCCTATAGACGTCCTATGTTCCAAGGACGTCTTTAGGACATCCTTTAGAAATCTATGCTGAATGAATTATTTCACGCCGATGGTACACGCTTTGTGCAGTTTCGCTTACTATCAGTTGCAGCCGGACATAATTAAGTCCGTTCTACGCCGTGATGCGCCGTGATACGCCGTGAGTCGGACCACAGCCGATCGTCCAATGAGAGAATTTATTTTTCGAAAATAAATTCTCGTTGGACCATCGACTATGCTCTGGCATCCGACGGCGACATACGACCTATTGTAGAACAGGCCTTAAGAGGGTGCCAATTTACATGTTTTTTCTTTACAAAATTTAATTATTATTAAATTAAATTAATTTTTATTTAAATATCTGAAAACTTTAGAAGACTGGTAGAATACAGAAATTTTATTGATTAAAAAACAAGGTGAATCTCCGCACCAACTTAAAAGTGTAATATATTAAAAAGATGTCTCGGGAAAACCAGCAGCAACTTGCACTCGCATTGTTCCTCCGGCACGCGTTCAAACGTTCCATCGAATTATCCGCCGCTGTATTCACGAGGGACTAGACGGAAATTTGTCGTTACTCGGAGCCGTTCGTTCTCTGAAACAGCGGATCCGTTGCCATGGTCGGTACTCTCGGTTTCTTTCATTAGCGTTATCGCCCGAGCGTGGTAACAATGCGCGCGATTTCAATAGCGCGGAATTACGTATTAGTTATCATCAGACCGGCCGTAGATTGCGTTGCCGCATTTCCCTTACGAGCCATTTCTGGTTCGCGGCTTCTCCGCGTGTAATAACACATGAATAATGTCGGCACGATAGAGTGCGCATGCGGCGGTGTGTGCGCGCGAATGCGTGTGTACGACTCTTGATACTCCGCGCGCATCTCTCTTGGTTAAGAAAATTTCGAACGAGTCTGCGATCGCGGGATGTTTACTCCCTCGCGACACGGCCATTACGAGCGCGCGCGCGCGCGCGCGCGCTCACACACGTAACCGTCCGGTCGATCGTGCGCAAGAAATATCGCGACCACTAAAATAATTAAACTCTCATTAGTCCCGCGAATCAAATCGACGTTATCAAGTGGGATTTGATGTTCATTTTGCAAAATAGCAATTATGTATATCTTGCGCAATTTCACCCACGACATTCAAAGGTCGCATTTACGTTCCGATGTATCGTAATTAGAATTTACAATGTCGCGTGTGCTGAAGGTCGCGAGGATTAATCGCACGTATTTCGATGTGGAATAATCTCAGTTAGTTATCGAGTCGGAAACATATTTACAAGAGAGACGGCAATTTCGTTACTTTCGCCGGCTTCTAATCCCCCGAGCGGCGCGCTAATTACCGCGAGTCGTCGTTACGGCGGAGGATAAATTCTCTGTCGTACGCGCGAGTTATGCGCGTCGTATCGGATTGCGCGTAGAGGAAAACGATTCGTTTTATACTTAACAAATTAACGGCGCTGATTCAGTGGCTTTGTAGGGAGCTTTCGAGATGGAATCTACTTCGTGCACGACGGGGTTGCGCATACTCGACGCGGGGCGTGCTCTCTCTCTCTCTCTCCCCCCCCCCCCNCATTCGGGAGAATACTCGAATTAATTACGGGACCCCTCTCATTTACGCAGTTATTATGAACCTTACCCTAAGATCATTACTGAATTACACCGAGAGAGCTTCGGGGAACTGTTTGCGCCCGCCTGTTTGTATGCTCGATTAGCATTCACCTCGATATCGACGATTCCATGTATAATTGCTTATCCATTTCGATCGATACTTGGGAGTAGACAAGGTGATTCTTCGGATCGCTGATATTATGTTTTTCGTAAGATTTCACGACGCACCCTAATTTACGCGAAAGATCATATAATGCATATCTCGTAAAATATTTAAACGTTTCAACGGCGGATTTTACACTATATAACGGAAATTCCATTATAATTAAAAGCAAATACTTCCAATCACAGATTAATGCATATATGGTCCATCGGAAACCTGTCATTGGCTACTGTTAGATCGGAATTAACGTAAATTTTTATCACTTTAAACTTTACTCTATGTTACTTAAATTCCATTATAATTAAATTCAAATTCCTCCAATCACACATTAATACATATATGGTTCATTGGAAACCTGCCATTAGCTGCTGCTAGATTGAAATTAACATACATTTTTATCATCTTGCACCTCTCCATTTTTCCAACTTCGCAGCATACCGATATTTTTCGCTTTGCTTCGGTGGATTACTGAAAATAATTGATCCGCAAAATGAAATTTTCGCCCATCGTCCACATAATCCGCCCTCTCGATGTCATTGCCGCGTCGAAACGAACGGTTTCATATCGAATTTAACGCCGGCGCCGTCCGCGCAGACGAGAAAAAAATTTGGTTTTCAATATAAAATAAGCCTCCACGCGGAAACAAAGCACGTTGCGAAGGAGAAACGGGAGGGGCGATCGTGGGAAAGTCAGCAAGCATTCACAGCACTCAAGCTCGGTTTATCCAGAGGAACGGTATCGAGTATCCGTTGTACAGCTCTCTCTCTCTCCTCCCTTCTCTCTCTCTCTCTCTTTCTCTTCCTCCTTCTCTCTTTCTCTCTCGTTTAAACGTAACCGGGTATTCCATTCTTTGAGGGCCCGCGGAGTTTCCCCGATATTTCTGAAAGCGGTCGCTATGCGATAGATCCTGTGCGCTCGTTTTATCCCTGTACTTTTCCGAGTTCCCTTCACATACATCATGAGGTTCCCCGACAGCCCGACGGAAACAACGCGATTCGAAAGCGCAATTCTGCAAGTCGAACCTGCATTTACGTGCATCTTGTACTTTACGTTCTCAGCGTCTAATACGGAGTATCGGTCGAAAGTATTGGAAGGGAATACACGGGACATTCCTTGATAGAGTGGCTCAACTACCCGCTTTTGAATTATCTCGAGTGGAAAAGTTCAGTACGTACGATGATCTTTCCAAGTCTGTCCGTACGCTACGCTCGTAGCGGACAGTCATCTTAGCAACCAATCATTCATTAAGATAATTGCTACAAATGAGATAAAAAACTATATTGAGAGAAAAAATGTTTAGAAAATAAAAATTATCTGTTCAATATGGGCACTAATAACAGATTTATTTAAATCGAAATTTTTTTATTTAAATAAAAACATTTGTTTTCTCACAAAAGCTCATAAAAAAATTAATTTTCATAAAAATATAAAATATGAAAAATGCATATTTCCTTATATATTTGGAAAAAATTCTTCATCGGTATATAAATATCTAATTAGTATAAGTAAATATATTCCCAGTACAGATACACATAACGAAAAAATTTTTGTTATATTAAAAATATTTTTCCTTCAGTGTAGGAATATAACATAAAAGAAATTAAGTTCGTAGATAAAAATAAATAAAGATAGTAATAAAGGAAGCATATACGTGAATTTTAAACAAAATCAAAAACAAAAATCTCGAAACGTAATATTAATTGTTTTGCTTTTTTCCCTTTTTATTCTTCGCATATAAGCGCAGCCTTTTGTGAAGACAGCAGAATAGATGTAATTGAACGGCAACTACGCCCGAGGTAAAGTCGTTCGAAATAACTATCCGTATAGTTGTTATCATCCTTCTGTTCTGTCTAAAGCGACACAACTCAGTGATAGGTACCTATCATTTACTTTTATTCAACATTCCGCGTTTGTATCTCGTATTTCATCGCCTTGTCCGGATGGGACACGATAGAGAATGAGAGAAAACACGACTTTGTTTTGAGAAATGTTAAAATTATTACTCAGCTCCTTGAAAGAAACAACACGACTCGAAAGCTCGTAGCTCTCGAAGTCGACGCTCACCGAGGTCTTATTTACCCGTTTGTATCTTCAGATTCCAGCTCTCTCTCTCTCTCTCTCTCCCCCTCCCTCCCTCCCTC